TGGCAAGGCATAGCTATTTATCGCACAGAAATATATATATATATATTATATATATATATATATATATATACTACCTAACTTTGAGCAATTGTTTTTTTTAATTAAAAAGAAAACTTAAGTGTCATAACTCACATCATCCAAGCATCTTCAAAGAGTCATTGTGGATGGTGATGCTGTTGGCAGGAAGGCTCTCCACTAGCAGTCAGTCTTGCAATGAATCTGAAGAGGCCTCTGACTGAAGACTGTTGCTATATGACGGTCTCATGACTGATTTGGGACTGGAAAGCTAATAGCTCAATGTCCTAGCAGCAGAGACGATATTCCACAGAAACATCTGGCACACACATGGCACCGTCAGCTGTTAGCAGCTCTACTGATCCACCTCATTTGCTTTTTCTGCTTCATGTTTAATTCTGGGGCTGGGAATGCAGAGCAGAAACAGACCCAGAAAACCTGAGAGGTCTGGAAGGTTGATACGATACATCGGTGTGCTTGACTATGAAATATCAACTGTCTGCGGAAAGTGCGCGGCCCACTGAATCCACACAGTACACCTGAGTATAGGAGCAGGGTCGTGTTTGGCCTGAATGGCCTCGCACGTTCAGCCGATCGTGGTGAAGGAAAAGGAAGAAATGAGCAGAGAAGCTCAAGAAGAAATTGCAGATACTAGAGGAATGGTCCCGTCACAGTTCAGCAGTACTTTGGATACTTAAAACCAACAAAAATGAATCAATAACCATCAGCTGATATAAAAGGCTCATATTGTGATGCGATTTTTTCAGCCGTATTGCTGAATAGTACTCTAGACGGTTCAGTTAAATAATCAACAACAATATTTTTCCTGTTTGGGTTTTTTTTTATGCTCCACAGTCAAGTTTATCTCAGACATAGCTGATCTCCTGATAGAGAAATGGGAGCTTGTAATTTGGAGAAAACATCAGGGGAAATATTTTAGATACTGATTAAAAAATATTCATTAACACATGTTATGAGGCTGTGGCAGCTTGGGGGGAAAGAGAAAGGGGGCTGCTTTTTGGGGGGCTTGAGACCTGATCTCTTCCTCGCTCTTGCACAATCGAGCAACAGCATCCATACAGCGGAATTAGCATCCCGCTTATTAAACATCTGTTAATGATTCAGGAGGGTTGTAATGTATTTTTTTATACACCTGCGCCTCGGATTACCATAAAACATTTTTCCTGGAAGCCATAAAATATGACTTTCACTAAGACGTTGCTCCCTTATGTCTTGTGTCATCAACATGAATTGGTTATTTAACCTCCGTTAGAGTTAAAGATGATAGAAAATATCATCTATAGACTATTCACACTGGTAATTTAAAAAAAACTCATTTGAAGAAATTAAATAATTTTAGCCAAAACTAATTCTGTCATAAAAAACAACTCTACTCTCTGTATCAGGAGCTTCTAGGATCCATCTCTACCCCTGGGAAATTGTTTTAAACCAGATAAATGCTTTGGAGATGCACGTGAGGGGTAATAAACACCCCAGGAAACTATACTGGTGCATGGGAATGGTTCCTGTAGTGAAAATGCAGCCAGTCACACAGAGTTGGTTGAATTTGCCCCTGAACAGAGTTGATTTAGCTCAGTGAGGAGCTCTGAATATGCAGCAGGTCTGGACAGGAGCAGCAGGCTGCTGGAGAAACAGATCCATCATATATAGCAGTTTAGAAAAAACAAAAAACGAAAATGTTTTCTTTTTTTTCTCTCTAATAGGAGCTTGGAGAGGCTGCAGGAGGAACAAGGAAGACTCAAGGTGCAACATTGTCCTCTGGTGGCGTCATGAAGAAATCACCAATATTAACTGGTATCTAAAGTTGGCGATCTGCAGAAGTCCCTTCATGTTTTTCCTCATGTCTGTCTAACCATTTAAAAATGGTTTTATATATCACAGATTTTAAAGAAACAGTCTTATTAGATAATTATTTGAGGGATTAATAGTAGTGCAGTTAGTACATTACAGCATTTCGGAGCTGTTTTGTGAGTGATCTCATGGACATTGCAGAAAAGCTGGACTTTAATTTTGTAGTTACTGTTTTATGTGTCATCGGTTGTTTTTGCTCCTCTCTGTTGGAACCAGCTCATCGTCTGGTGATGCACACGCTCTGAGACTCGGCTTAAAACTTGTAACAAAACTTGTTTCCGAATTAACTGTTAGCTGTCAGGTGCATCTTTAATGAGTTCAAATATAATCTATATATTTTCAGATTAAATATTCAAAAATGTTTTATTATTTAATGAAACAATTTAAATTAAATTATTAATTCATTCATTCATTCATTTTCATTCGTGAAATGTCATCTGGTTGTAAAACGAGAAATTCTTAAATTCAAAACTGCATTTGGGAGTTCTGAGAAAACCTCGGACACAAACTGAAAATTTTAGCAGAACCTTTTAACCAATTTCGGCAGAACCTCGCCAGTCTCGGTCTGTTTGCTCTCTGCTGCCCCGATTTGGCACAACACTAGCAAACTGGAATTCAATATGATTTTTTTTGCAGTGGTGTTTCTCAAAGTCTTGACCTTTCTGTGCCTTGTCAGCAGCTGAGGCAAACCGGGTCCAGGTAATGAATCTGAATTAAAGGCCCACACTTCTCCTGAACACAAACCCCTTGGGACAGTCCACTCGCACTCGAGTTCTCCTCAGTCTTGCTTGAGGAAGTGATTTAGGTTGTTGATGCAGAAATACATCCGAAAACTTGTGGGACACCTGGGATCATTGCTGGGCATCGATCCACCGCAGAGGGCAGAACAAGAGGAGGCCAGTTGGAAATCTGACCCCTGGAGGCGTCTTGGTGTCCATCACCACCTTCCTAACATCTAAAATACTATGTTTTAGTATTGTTTAGGGATTTATCATTGTGTCCTCTTTTTTTTGTTATGTAAATGGAGGAAGAAAAAGTAATGTTGACACAAAAAAATCGGCAGCACATAACCTTAAAAAACCTGTATCGGTGGATCTCTCCTCTGAACCCTCTCTATCAAAAATTATGTTTCCAGCAGCTGGGAAGACTTAAACTAAAGTAAGATTGTGACGTAAATATGAGCAATACCTAACTGAAATACTTAATATCAATATTTTTATTTTCTCTTTCTTGTCTCTGCTTTGAATTTTACATTTTATCTTTAAAAAGGAGAGTCTCTGCTCTCTTCTTTTCAGCATCTCACTGATGCAATCTGACAAAAAAACTGCATCATTTCAAAAACATTAAAATGTTCGAAGTATTTTGTTTAGTTTCTAGTGCAAATATTTCAGTCCACTCAAAATAAGACAAAAGTAACTGACAGGTAACTTTTCAGCAAAAGAAATAAATAGGAGCTTTTTTGAGTCATTAATACCATAATATTAATGATAAACTAGCAAACGTTAGCAGGTAATTTACCTTATAACGTTTTCATCAATATTAAGGTATTAATGATTTAAAACAAGCTCCAATATCTTGCAGAAAAGTTACTTGTGAGTTAGTTTTGTCTTATTAAAAGGGTACTAAACAAGAAATAAGTGTCTATAAACTAAACCAAACATACTTGGTAAGTTGGGTGAAAGTAACAGGACTGTGAGCCTGCTAAAGTGCATCCACATTAAGGATTTACATGATGTTCACTTGTGCCCTGGATAACGCGACGCCTCGCAATGAGCTGAGTCTGACTCTCATATATGACGATTGCAAAAGAGGGGATCTGAACCGGCAACCGTAGAATTTTAATGTCGATATTCCCTGAAGTTTTAGCTGCAGGCAGAGTGATGTCATTCCACAGATGAACCAACTAATCCACCCGATAGATTGTTTCACAGTGCCATCTGCAGACTGTGCGCTGCAAATTCAAGTGAATGTTGGCAACGACAAGCACCAAGAAGACCTGAGATCTGGTTTGTTGTTGGTCACCTTGGACTGGAAGTAAAGACCAGGTCCGTAGCTCCTGTAGAAAAAAACTCCTATTCAGCAAGTCCACAGATGATTCTGAAACTTCAACTATGTTGTTTTGAAATGCACATTCTGGTATTTTTATTGACCAAGACAAAAGTTCTGTGACAATGCAGGTTTGCCTTCGTTGAGGCGACCTCTGGACTGGGTCTCTGCTTTTTCTTGGCTTCATCAGACTGTGAGCTGCAGCTTTCACTGGAGCAGTTCAGAGCTGAATGGACTTTTCTGGGTCAGGGAAGAGGTTCTGCCCCAAATGGAGGAGTTCAAGTATGTGAGGGTCATCAATGAGGGTCATCAAAGGGGCTCAAGAGCAAAAAATCTGAAATGATTTCTCTCTGTAGGGTCTCTGTGTTCTCCTACACAGATAGGGTGAAGCTCAGCCATCCTGGAGTAGAGCTGCTGCATCTCCAGCTTCAGACAATGGAGGTGGTTCAAGCATTTGCTTAGAACGCCTCCCTGGCGAGGTGTTCAGGTTCCATCAGCTGACGACCCAGAACAGAGAGGGACTATGTCTCTGATGGCCTGTGATTCCCCAAGAGAAGCTGGCAGCAGCCTGACGTCACCATGACCCGACCCTGGAGAAGTGATGATGTAACCTTCACTGAAATTAGTAGAGTATTTTGAAGTAATGCTGCTCATGTGCAACTTGCTGACTCTACCCACCTTACAGTTTTTTTCTAAGTTATTACCCAGCCACACAGTATCTAAAACCTTGTGCTAAGTTCAGACGTACGTAACGTTGCCTTTTGGCACTTTGAAACCTTCCCTGCAATTAACTATTCATCAATAGTTCTGTAATTAGTCTAGTTGGCTATACTTTAGCCACCCCACCACTAAAACACCAACCTTTAGTGCCGCTCTCAGTTTTTACCAAGTTCTGTTAATCATTTAAATACATGCAGGTCCCCCTGCTTCAAACGTCCTCGTTAAACTGCATGTCACAATCTCACCAGCAGAGGGAGCCATATTCCAACCCAGCAGCTCTGACTTTGGGGTTGCGCAATATAATGAACACTTTCATCTAAAACAGGAACAAGACATTTACACAGCAACCAATTTTACACTTTATTTGTTTTAGTACAACAGTTTAAGTTAGCTAGCCACTTTTCTATTGAAATGCCAGAAGTGTATTGCTCTTATGCATTCCATGTGTAGACATCTGCTCAGTGATGTTGAAAATGACCTCCAGTTGCATGACGGGCATGTTAATTCACAGCTAGACAGCAGGAAGTCGTGTGCTTTAAGTCAACCCCATATTTTTTTGGAATATTTTGTTTTTTACAAAAGCCAAGAATCAGCAGTGGCGCAAAATCCCCCATGACCTGCAGGTAAAAGTCAGCTGAATCCGGGAGCAAAGCTGCATGTCCAACAGCCAACACCTCGATGGAAACTTGTGCTACTTTTTAAATATACAGTAAGTGCCAAGAACAGGTGTGGTTCACAGACGTTTTCAAACCCACTATGAAACGGGTGGTAGTAAAAGACCAATGCATAGAAACATGCTTCCCGAGAGAATAAAAAACACACACCGCTAATATCAAAGGAAGGGGGCTCAAGCTGCACCGACAAGCTACATGATGATTACAGCAGACTCAGGAATTATCCACATGTAGAACGAGCGCAACTACACTGATATAGCAGGAGAGTTGAAAAAATTCACAAAGTAGAAGTTGTATTTCCAAAAGAGGTGAGTCGTGAAAAAACAATACTGGCTGAACAAAAAATAAATTAATCTTTGGATACGTAAAAAACCCTATACAATCCCCGGGTGGCTGCCCCTCAGTCCTCCGAGCCGCCTTCTGAGCCGGGCTCCTTTTCCTTATTCTTCCTCACCTCTTCCAACTTCTTGTCCTGTAAAGACAAAAGGAGAAGGTAACAGTGGATCCCCATGTCGCTCCACACACACGTCCAGGCAAACGCCACCAACCTTCTCCTTGAACTTTTCATTCATGGCTGCCATAATGGCTGTGCGGTTCTCTTTGTTGGCCTCCATCTTCTGATTGAGCTTCTCCTCTGCCATCTTGCTGAAGTTGTTGTTCTCCTCCATAGCTTTCTGCAGCACTTCCTTTTCATGCTCCCGCTTCTCAGCTAAGTGCTTCAGAACCTCAGCTTCATGATTCTGATGGCAGGGAGGGAAGTTAGACTTAGACCACTTTAGCAAACTCTCCACTACTTGTATACAAAAGCAGAAGACGGTCAAGGGATAGGTCTTCTCTTCTTACCTTGCGCCTCTCTTCTGCAGCATCCAGCTTTCTCTGAATTTCCTCAAGAGAGACGTCCTTCTTTTTGGGAGGAGACAAGGGGAACTCTCCTTTCGCATCTGGGGCTGGAGCACCCAGGATGACCTCAAAGGCCTGGCCAGACGCCCGCTTGTCAAGCTCCTTGACCTGGATATCTGAAGAACACCAGAGTAAAGACACCAGGAGATACCAGCAATTTAAAGGTACATTTACTTTAAATGCAAAATTACCTTCAGCTGATGCCATCTTCGACGCAAGTGCAGGACAGGTAACCTGAAAGTCAGCAGATTGTATTCATTCAGTATAAGTGCTGATTATTAATAGAGAGATTAGATGATTGCCAGAAAATATCAATATCAAAATATCAAGCGCCAAAGAGCCGCAGGTCGCTGACCTCTGCTTCTGTCATAAACAGAGGAAACATCTTTGTTCACGCAGCCAATAAAAAAAGAAAAGAAACCAGCGGCAACAGCGACATCTGGTGGCGCACTGCATGTCTGCATAAAACCACCGCCCATCAGCCCACCCAACACACGGCATTCAGTGCGTCCGTGTTGCGCACGCGCCATTGTTTATGTTTCAAATCGCAACAGCATTGACATTCAGATCGATCAGAGACCGATCGAACCCCCTTCCCCCTCCTTTCCTTCCTCCCTCGAAGGGAGGGGCTCCTGGATAAGCAGAGCCACAGTGTCAATAGTTAATGAGACAGTCATAATCTGCTGAAACAAAAGACCGCCAGTGGGGTGTGTTCGGCGCCCAGACGCGACATAAACGACACATAAGCGACATGAATGAGGAATGTGCAGATCCATGGGAACATCGGCAGCAGGCAGCACCTGTTCCTTCCACCATGTGCTCGGAAGCAAGAGGGAACCAGGGAGGGGTGAACCCACAGATGGAGGTGGGAAACAAAAGCCACAAAGGGATGGCTGGAAAAATATCTGCTCCACTGTGACGAACAGCGAGCAAAAATGACGAGACATAACAGCAGCCATGTTCTGTGATGAAATGGCTCTCTTGTTAATTAGAGGGCTGAAGAACTGTTGAGTTATCCCAGAAACAGAGCCCTTCCCTGGCTTTTCTCTGGGGCTAACAGCTAGCTTAAGTTCTTTGTTTACCCTTCTTAAATGCCAAAAAGCTCGAATAAAAGTCGCACATGTGAGCAGAATAAAGACTTAACAGTCCAAACAGATGGAATTGGCAAAGAAACAATGTTTCGTCAAGACGACAAAGCTTCAAAAACTTTAACAAATCTTAGTCGCATAAATTCAATTAGATGGGTCTCATTAGCTCCATTTGGAGAACGCAGCAAACAAAGGAGCTTTTATTCTGACAGCAACGAGGGGAGCAGCCACAGACAAAGGGGCGCTCAGACTGGACACTTCGCTGTAAAATACATCACTAAAAAACGAATATATCAAAAATAAAGTGACTGCTAAAATATTTTAGTACATTTAAGTACAAAGACAGTCGAGCTGAAGAGGCAGAAATGACTGGTCTGAATGCCCCCTCAGAGCCGACCGTGCCAATGTCTCCCCGAGTACAATGGGCTGCCAGCCCGCCAGCCCACCGTCACAACAACGCCCGTTTGTCTCCAATAACACAAAGCACCAGTAACAGCCGAGCAACATCTCCTAAAGCCTTAAACTCATATCCAGCCGTAATTCACACAGGACGAAAACAAATTACTACAAAACAATTCATTCTAAGGTGAAGAAAAACTTCCCCTGATTAGAGCAATTAGACCCCAATTAGTGAGGATTTGTAAAGCCTGGCGCTGAGGTGAATACTCCTACCTACAGCAGCGAGGGAAAGCTCTCCTGTCGGGTTTCTGGGCTAGAGATGCTGCCTGCCTGTCACACCCACCTCCAACAAGCTGCGGATGCTGCTCTGCTCAGCTCCTCTCGCTCAGGTTTCACCACAAGCCCCGGTCGCGAGCACCCTCAACGCGCGCATTAATAGAACACGGCCCGTGACGTTTCAACAGTCTGCCACCAATCAGTTGGCGCTATACTCCGCGTGGGAATTGTAGTTTTTTTCTCAAGGCTCTTTGCCGTGTGGTGCAACCATTTAGCTCTGTTTTTGCTGCCTATTGTAATGAATGGAGTATGTTGTCTATTATTCTATTGTTTTTACAACCCAATATGCTTGTTTTTTGTTTGTTTGTTTTTTTTATTCTTGATAAACAAGCATTTTAAAAACCTTCCTGACCAAACATATCAGGTTGTGCACATATATCCATTGTTCTTGTTGTTTTAAGATGAAACAAGCTAAAAATCTAAAAAGTTGGTCAAGACTGCATTACTCTAATTCGTGATGATTATGTAACACAGTCATTTAAATACAGCAGAAATAAGGAAGAAAGAGAAAAGGAAACGATGAGTGGTTATTTTTTTCCAGTCTCAATGTGATTCAACCTGAAAACTGGAGTGAGTTTGAAGTTAGATGCATCCATATGAGAAATATGCTGGCATGGAAAATGACAAAAAAACGCCTTATAGTAAAACAAGGACAACAGTTTTAAACGTACTTTCTCCAACTGTCGCTGTATTCTAATCAACCAGTCAGTGAAATATCCCTAACTTTAGTCATTTGGATTGCCCAAATGTAATGCTAAAGTTAAAAAGAAAAATGCTCATAATTAGGTATTTGTGTGTAGAAATTTGAGGAGAGAGATTTATTGAAAACAATTTGGAAAACGGCTGTAACATAACATGATACAGAGAAATGGAAGCGCTGTCAGCACTTTCTGGATGCACTGTGCAAATATTTGGACAAATATTTTGAGCCTTCCTGGCCAGTGAGATGTAGCTCATTTTGGGAAATAACTATTTTTAATATTTGGAGGCGTGTGAAGTTTCACATGTCCAGTTGCTAGTCTGAGGGTCAAATATCTGCATGTTAGCTCTGGGAAAAGAAGAATCGAAAGTGGAATCAACCAGAATGATGCACATTATGTCATTCATATATTTTTTCAATGTATTTGCTTTCTTTCATAAAGGTAGCCATTCTGGCCATGTGTGTTATTGCTGAGGAAACTGCTGTGAGTGGTCAGCTGGACCCTGAACTTAATGATCTGCTGATTCAAACATGAAGGATCAGCACACATTGCGCTCGGCAGAATCCGGCTAGCAATAACCACTGGGGAAGATTTCAAAGAGCGCACTGCGGCAATTCAAAGACTCACACAGGCTGGAGTTGTGTCGAGGAAAAGTTCAAGATACAAATGTTTTTTGGCAAACAGACGTGACATTTTCAGATAAAACCCTCTGATAAAACCATTGCTCCTTTTAGAAACGTTAACTTTAGGACTGCAAACACTCACTGGATTTTTTTTTTTTTTTTGTAATCAACTATTTTTAACGTACCATTATTCTGATGACAGCAGAAGGTGACCAGTGTTTGTTCTGTCACAGAGACGCTGCACTAAAAGTATCTGATGTGAGAACATTTAGATCTATTTTTACCTGTACCTTGTGTGAATATCATTTCATTTTGTGGGTCGGCTCTCCGATTGCTACCGGTGTTGAAATCGCTTTCAGTGAGGATGCATGTGGAGCATTCACTTCTCCACCCAGTCTCCATATCTGACTTATGTTTACGTCTGTTTGTCTCAAAAACCTGACGAAGTCCGAATAATTTAAGCAATTTTCCTTTTTTTAATTGACATTTTAGTTATAAATGTCAGTCTAAATGTCTGTCCACTACAAATATGCACAAAACTTTGCCTATATTCCGCTAACATCAAAAAACAACATTTTGCATTTGAAGTCTTTTTATTAAGTAAGAAAGGAAGTTAGAAATCACGCATAAATTAATTAGTTTGAGCGATAAGTCTTTAAAACCATTCCATCCCATTATCCTCCTACCACTACTTTGTAGTTTGTACCAGGGGCAACATCCAGTTACTGATTGTGTGACTTGTGTGATGCAAAACAAAAAAATTTTATAAAATTGCTTCCATTGCAGTTTTGCAAAAGAATCCAATTCTGATACGACCAAAAAAGCAATTAATCCTAGAGCCAAAACTTTTTATCGAAAACTTAGAGATTTTTCTAAGTTTGGTGTTTAAGTTTATTTTCAAAATATCAAATTACCCAAGTAAATGGTCTATGGAATTGCAGAAGCTTGTCTGAAACATTTGAAAAGCGTACTTCCTAAATTTAGCTGTTTTAAGTAAACGTTGAGCACATCACTTAGATGTGCTCCTCACTGCAAAAACACAACATGACAATAAAGTCAAAGGGTTTGAGTCACAGTGAAGTCATGAGTCATTGGTGTGAAAATGCAAATCAAGTCCAAAATCCTCTGATTTCATCCAGTTGAGTCATTAAATCTGTGACTCGTGTCTGGCAAGATTCCAAGCCACATGACTCGACTTCCACACTTCTGAAAGAAGAGAGTGGAAGAGAAGACACTGAGAGAAAACTTGTTAATACACAGGCTCATCAATAAAGCTGCATATTCATTACAAATGGCACCACTTCCTGTCGTCTTCTTCATGGTTTGTGCCAGTGGCAACATCCAGTTCCTGATCATGTGACTTGTGTGATGCGAAAATAGTGATTGCATTGCAGTACCAATTTTGATATGGCAAAAAAAAAAAAAAAAAACATCCTGTCACCAAAACCTTTCATTGAAAAATGTGAGTTTTTGAAAATTTTACATTTTTCCATCAAGCAAATGTATTTTTTAAATGTCAAATTGCACAATTATAAATCTCTATGCACATGGAATGAGACATACTGTTCAGGTGAGTCTTCTTTTCGGGAGGATTTGCATTGTGGTGTGTGAAAGCTGGGCCGTTCATATAGACGACTCCTCTGATGCATCCTCTGGTGCTGTTATCTGGAGACGGACGTATCCACCCACCGCCATGGATTCCACAACATCAATGTTAATTTAATCATGAAACTGAATCTCTAATCTCTAAGTCAAAAGTCAAGTGACTTTTGACTTTATTACAAAAGTCAGATGACTTTTGTAATAAAGTCATCTGACTTTATTACAAAAGTCGAAATCAAATTTTTAGATTATTACAAAAGTCATCTGACTTTTGTAATAATCTAAAAATTTGATTTTTTTTTCTTTTTTTCTCCAAAGAGTTTTTGCGGCGCTAGTGGCTCATATTTTTGACAGTAGGCAGACAGGAAGGAGACATGCGACATAGCTTTTTTCTTCAATAAAATGTTTCCATGATGTTGTTTGTGTACTTGAATGCAGACTGTATGGAACACAGACATTTGACATGGGTGAGGTTAAATGTGCTTACAAATCAAAATACAGGAGTAATGTTGCGTAAACTAGTTAGCAGAATATATGACTGAGAAGAAGATGACATGAAATACTAAAGCAGTGAGAAATGTTGGGCATCATCCTACTACCTTTCCATTGACTTATTTAGCTATTTCAATTGTATAAGATGACAGGTCAGCTTTTGCTCTCTTTGGACCATCCTTTAAAAAACACTGACTACACCGGACCAGCAACTGCTGCTGAGAACAGCACTTTTAGAAGATGCTCTTCCAAGGCCTCTGTCAAATTCCTCAATCCCTTAGGGAGCATTCAAGGCAGTTCTGCTTAGTCTGCTTTAATCCAGCTGCAGTCTGCCTAGAGAGTCTGGTTCATTTGGGGAGGAGTGAATGCATAACCAAACTCTGACGCAAATTAAAAAACTGAACTCTGGTCCACCTACGAAGTGGGAGGACCAAACTTGGTCTGCGTTTGGATGAAGTGAGCTCTGGTGCAGCTCAAATGCAAAAGTGAACATCAATGGACTTAGCAAGACAAATGGCTTGTGGTCTTTTACCAAAGACTAAATATTTTTTTTGTCAGAGGAACTGGCTTTGAGTTATGTATTTTTTATTCTGTTAATGAGACCGGAGTGCATGACTGAAGCTTTGCCTGGTCCTCAACCTGTGTTTGGTCCCTATGTCTGAGGAACTGTGTACAGCGGTGTGCTCCGCTGCATCAGTCAGACAGCAGATTCATGCCTTTCAGCATCAGCCTTTGTCCTTTGACTGGATCTATGATGCCTTATTGGATCAAATTAGCAAAGCAGGGAGTGAGCAGGAGACAGATGGAGACAGCAGGGCCCGGTAGAAGTGTATGAACACAACTGATGGGAACCGGATCTTTGGTCTGCAGAGAAACACTTTTTACACTTTGCGTTTATGTGCCAGTGAGTGTCAAAGTTTGGGATCTGATCAAGAATCTCTTCTTCCAAATTAAAACACACTGAGAATATTTTTTTTTGTCTTTAGGGACACTGAGATCTCAAGTCTAGTGAAAGATGTGTAAGAATCGCTACAGGACGGAGACACTTGGCGGGAATGTGATCAACCGGTGCTGTGCTTCATCTCTGATGTCGCTAATACAGCAGGAGCTGATCCAGTGGAGCACACAGCACAGGAGCAGCATTAGCATGTTGGTTGCTGACCCATTTTCCAGCACACACAAACAGAGAGCAGACCACCACTCCCCCCACCCCTCCCGCCTCTCCTATCAGCAAAGCTGGTAGGATGGAGCAGAGAGCTGATAGAGAGGGAGCTTGATCTGATTGTCATGATGATAACAAGCACAACGGGGATCCTCGGAAGTTAGCATATGGAGCTCTAGGCTAATCTCCAGCTAGCCTAGCTGCAGCAGGTACACAGATCCCATTTGCAGCACATTATTAGGATGCTAGCTATGGCAGAGGGCTGAGGCCTCCAGCTAACCCGCCCAGTAATGCACAGGAAAAGGATGCTGTCTGTCTGTCTCATGTTAACCAGATGCTGCTCTTGTGTTTTAGTTGTGATAACTTTATGTAATGGAGGGTTACATCATCACCAGCTCAGCTGCTTCTCTCTCTCTCTCTGGGAGGCAGCAGGCCTTCTGGAAGAGGTTCCAGCATCCCTGCCCCCACCTCCCCTGGATGTGTGTACAGTCTGCAT